CTTCAACTCCCAGAATTCCTGAGCCAGCATGGCTCAGCTTGGAAACCTCTCCCTTTCTCCTCAGCATGGCTGGCTCAGGAATTCTGGGAATTGAAGTCCACGAGTCATAAAAAAGCCAACGTTGCCTACCCTTGCTTTAGTCATTATGACTTGGGCTAATGGGAATCAAATTCTAAGACATCAGGTAGATATAGGATAGCCAATCTGTCTTTTAATTCAGGGGTCCCCAACCCCAGGCCGTGGCCTATTCAGGACCGGGCAATTGTGTATGTGTGCACTCACAACTCCACCTGCGTGCGCAGCAGCCAAGTGTATGCGCACTTGGCTCCATTTGTTCAAGTGACGTGGTGTGTGTCAGTGGTGGGATTCAGCTAGTTCGCACCACTTCAGCAGAATCGGTAGCTAATTTTTTGTTGCCCGGTCCCAGAATGGACTTCTGGAAGCGGTATCCACACAGAGAATCGGTTGTTCGCATATTTGAATCCCACCACTGGTGTGTGGGCCTGCCCCTTGTGCAAATGGAGCTACCATCCCCTCTCCCCCATGCCGGTCCACAAACCCAGAATGGTTGGAGACCACAATTGATCCAGCCAATCCATAGAATTGTGGGTTCTGAATTGCTACAGGCAGGCAATCTATCTAAGGTTCAGATGGGGGGAAAAGTGCTGTATTTCTCAACCTTGGCAACTTTTAAGATGTGTGGACTTCATCTCCCAGAATTCTCTAGCCAGCAAGGCTAGCTGGGGAATTCTGGGAGTTGAAGACCACATATCTTAAAGTTACCAAGGTTGAGAAACTCTGATTTAGAAGGTACATTACAGAGCCATTTAATTTTGCAGTCTTACCCAAATCAGATAACTGGATGCCACCGAGAAACTACAGATAATCCTCGACTTACGGCCACAATTGAGCCCCAAATTTCTGTTGCTAAGTGAAACATTTGTTGAGTGAGTTTTGTCCCATTTTTCCCTTAGCAACATACATTTCGGGCTCAATTGTGGTCGTAAGTCAAGGACTACCTGTATTGGAGAAGCCATATGTTACCACAATATTTCTACTTATTAGAAATATTGGGCACTGTTAGTTCAGTATTATACAGATAACTACTGTAGCCCACTGCTTGAGGGCCATAACCTGGTCTTTTCCAACTTGCTGGAAGGAAAAAACCTGGTATCTTTCAACATAGAGTAGAGTAGAGTAGAGTAGAGTAGAGTAGAGTAGAGTAGAGTAGAATAGAATAGAATAGAATAGAATAGAATAGAATAGAATAGAATAGAATAGAATAGAATAGAATAACAGAGTTGGAAGGGACTTTGGAGGTCTTCTAGTCCAACCCCCTGCTCAGGCAGGAAACCCTATATCATTTCAGACAAATGGCTGTCCAGTCTCTTCTTAAAAACCTCCAGTATTGGAACATTCACAACTTCTGGAGGCAAGCTGTTCCACTGATTAATTGTTCTAACTGTTAATTCTAGATTGCTTCACTCCTTGATTTGTTTCCATCCGTTGCTTCTTGTTCTGCCTTCAGGTGCTTTGGAGAATAGCTTGACTCCCTCTTCTTTGTGGCAACTCCTGAGATATTGGAACAGTGCTGCCATATCACCCTTACTTCTTTTCATTAAACTAGACATACCCAATTCCAGCAACCGTTCTTCACATGTTTTAGCCTCCAGTCCCCTGATCATCTTTGTTGCTCTTCTCTGTACTTTTTCTGGAGTCTCAACATCGTTTTTACATCCTGTTGACCGAAACTGGATGCAGTATTCCAACTGTGGCCTTACCAAGGCATTGTAAAGTGGTATTAACACTTCATGTGATCTTGATTCTATCCTTCTGTTAATGCAGCCTGCCACTTTGGTGTCATCTGCAAATTTGATGAGTTCCCTATCTATGGTTTACACGTTCTTGCCATCGCTGGCCATGGCAGCTGGGGATGATGGAAACAAGTTGCAAGATAGATGGGGAACATTACAAAAAAAAAAAACAACCACCCAGTTTCATTGCTGCTTCTGCATACGGTAGCATTCTTGGGCTCTATAAAATCTCACATTCATGCCAACGTGATTAATCACCATGGAACAGCCATAAGTGTAACTACTATGTCTCGGGGCAGTGAATTTCATGAATTATACATTGTGTGAAGATATAATGCCACCGAACTGCATCTATTACTATTCAATTGATTGGTCGAATGAGGATTAAACTCTCGGTGGGGTGGGGAGAAAGAAATTAGGAAATAAATAAAAAATGAATACAGGAAAAAGATTTTTTTTAAAAAAAATCTGTCTGCTTTCTTCAGAGCCATGCATAATTATCTAGACTGCAATTACATTTCAGCCTTTACTTCCTAGCTGCCATGATTTATCCAGTTGTACTCTGCATGAGGAAAGGGCTCAGTGGCCCATTAAATTTATTTATGTATTTCTTCGATTTTTACCCCGCCATTTTTACTTTATAAGTAACTCAAGTCAGCAAACATATATAATACTCCTTCCTCTTCCTATTTTCCTCACAGTAACAACCCTGTAAAGTGGGTTGGACTGAGAGGGAGGGACTGGCCCAAAGTCACCAAGCCAGCTTTCATACCTAAGGTGGCACTAGAATTCACCATCTCCTGGTGATTGGCCCAAAGTCACCCAGACGACTTTCATGCCTAAGGTGGGACTAGAACTCACCGTCTCCTGGTGATTGGCCCAAAGTCACCCAGCTGGCTTTCCTGGCTAAGGCAGGACTAGAACTCACCGTCTCCTGGTGATTGGCCCAAAGTCACACAGATGACTCATGCCTAAGGTGGGACTAGAACTCACCGTTACCTGGGGATTGGTCCAAAGTCACTCAGCTGGCTTTCCTGGCTAAAGTGAGACTAGAACTCACCGTCTCCTGGTGATTGGCCCAAAGTCACACAGATGACTTTCCTGGCTAAGGTGGGACTAGAACTCACCGTCTCCTGGTTTCTAGACCAGCATCTTAACCACTACACAAATTGGCCCTCCAAAGAGAGATGTCTACAATGAGAGCAATGTTTGGGAAGTCAAGGTCAAGTTGGCTTTAAAGGCTGCTCTCCTAAAAGTAGGTGGGACAGGGACAGAGAAGGACTCTGATTGTGAATCCTTATTTTGTCTTTAGCCGAACCTTGGTGCTATCTGATCCAAAGAGATCCCCAGGTGTACTTCAGAGACCAGATATGCAGAAAAAATCTATCAGAATGGCAGATACAAGCCACCTTTTCTTAAATTCCCATAGCAGAAAGGTACAAATGTTATATTAGGCCTGGTCTCTGTTGCTTGCAATTTTTCACTGTTCCTTTCCATTTCCTATCATTGCTGGTCATCTCATCCTTTCCTGCCACCAACGTCTACTTCAACTGAAAAGTTCTCCATTTGCCTTTCTACTGTGACATACAGTAAGATAATCCTCTTGCTGTGAAACAATAAACCTATTTTGGCCATTAAGAAATCACGTGAAGTGTTGATACCACTTTACAATGCCTTGGTAAGGCCACACTTGGAATACTGCATCCAGTTTTGGTCTCCACAATGTAAAAAAGATGTTGAGACGCTAGAAAGAGTACAGAGAAGAGCAACAAAGATGATTAGGGGACTGAAGGCTAAAACCGATGAAGAACGGTTGCAGGAAGTTGGTATGTCTAATGAAAAGAAGGATTAGGGAATGACATGATTGCAATATTCCAATATTTAAGGGGCTGCCCCAAAGAAAAGGGGGTCAACCTATTTTCCAAAGCACCAGAAGGCAAGACAAGAAACAATGGATGGAAACTAATCAAGGAGAGAAGCAAGCTAGAACTAAGGAGAAATTTCCTGACAGAACAATTAATCAGTGGAACGACTTGCCTCCAGAAGCGGTGAATGCTCCAACACTGGAAGTTTTTAAGAAGAGACTGGACAACCATTTGTCTGAATTGGTATTGGGTTTCCTGCCTGAGCAGGGGGTTGGACTAGAAGACCTCCAAGGTCCCTTCCATCTCTGTTATTCTGGATTTAGATACAAAATAGAACAGCCACCCACAATTAATAATGCTCCTGTAGTTTATCTGATTATGAAGAAGGGCTGTTTCTTCAGTCGTGGGGAAGATAGAAAGTCACCTTGCAAAGAATTGGATTACTGGCTCATTTATCCCACTGTGTTTTTTTTATAAGCCTGCATTCTTTAATGAGATGTTCTCCCACGGGATTCATATAGTATAAGACCCAGCACCCATGAGAACCAGTGTGGTATATTGGTTAAAGTGTTGGATGAGAAGAAACCCAAGTTCAAGTCCATTTTATAGAGCAGGGGTCCCCGTCCCCCGGTCCGTGGACCAGTACCAGGCCACAGCATGCCAGCAACTGGTCCGCACAAACAAGCAAAGCCCCATTCATGAGATGCAGGCAGCACACAAAACCATGCACTCCGGTCTTCGGAAAAACCTCTCTCCATGGAACTGGTCCCTGGTGCCCAAAAGGTTGGGGACCTCTGCTGTAGAGAATAAAGATGATTTTCATGGAGACAAGCCAGATCCAATCCCAGAGCAAAAACACAAAACTCAAAACAATCTAAAAAAGCAAAGAGGAAATAGACAGACACCACCTTAGTTTCACAGGCATATGGGGTGGAGAGACATCAGACTTAAAGGGTCCTTTTACTACAGCCAGTGTAACAAAGTAGTTTTAACCTCCTTTGGAGTTACTTTCTTGGTCTGGCCTACCTGATGGAACTGACTCTTAGCCAAGGATGACTTTGAGCCAGTCACACACTCTCAGCCCAACTTACTGTATGTTAAGACGTCCTGAGTGAATGAGAGTTACCAGTTTTGTAAATGCAGAACAAAGAAATCTGAGAGCACCCTATTGTGTGAAAGTCTGGGTATTGGATAACCAGTTGTGGTTTTGTAGGATTTCACAAGGGTTGAGCCTTGGGATCTTTTGCGCACCATGCCTCTGTGGAATTGCTGGTATTCTGTCAAAAATCATCTCTACCTTTTCTTCTCTTCCCCTTTTTAGTATAAAAAACAGGGTTCTACTGTGACAAGTTACTGCAATGAGACGCTACCAGGCTGGGTGCATGATGTCCTGGGCCGTAACTGGGCATGTTTTACTGGAATCAAGGTCTCACCTTCAGGTCCCCAGGTTCGTGTGCATCAACTGCCTCCTTGGAAGAGCTCAAGAAGGTGAGTCCTGTTTAGTAAAACAGCACAGAAGACCTTCTGCCTTGTTGTAATTCAAAAGATTGCAGTCTACTCAGCTGGTTTTCCTTCAGATCACTATAGTAAGCAGTGATTTTTTTTCCCATTTCAGTTAAGTGTCTGTTAGCAGACAATCTCCTTACTCTAATACAGAGGTCTCTAAACTTGGCGACTTTAAGACTTGTGGACTTCAACTCCCAGAATTCCTCAGCCAGCCATGCTGGCTGAGGAATTCTGGGAGTTGAAGTCCACAAGTCTTAAAGTCGCCAAGTTTGGAGAGCTCTGCTCTAATATGTCCATTTTGTTAGGAGAGCAGATTGGAGATCCTCAATGGGACATTATTCAACACAGCTCAACATCCAGGTTGGTTGGTTGATCTTCTTGCGAAGAATGTATTGAGATATGGCAGATCTTGTAAGGATCACGATCAAAGGGGAAAATGTGGCAGAATTCTTGCTTATATATATTTTTCGCTTTTATTGATTTGATCAAATGTATACAGGTAGTCCTTGACGTACGGCCACAACTGAGCTCCACATTTTTGCTGTTAAGCAAGACAGTTGTTAATTTGAGTTTTGCCCCATTTTAAGTGAATCATTGGTTAAATTAGTAACCCCGTTGTTAAGTGAATCCGGCTTCCCCATTGACTTTGCTTGTCAGAAGTCGCAAAAGACGATCACATGACTCCAGGACACTGCAACCGTCATAAAAATGAGCTAGTTGCCAAGCATCCAAATTGTGATCACATGACCCTGGGCATGCCGCAAGTGGTCATAAGTGTGAAAAATGGTCGCCAGTCACTTCTTCCGGTACTGTTGTGATTTTGAAAAGTCACTAAGTGAATGATGGTAAGCCGAGGACGACCTGTATACAGCTGAATCTTCAAGAAGCACAGCAGCTTATAACGTGCTAAAATGCAATAAAAAATATCCCAAACTGAAGAAAATTATTCAAAATGCAAGTCTTTGCGAAAAGAGTAACATCATGGAAAATTGAGGAGTAATAATTTTCTAAAGTGGCCTTCTAAATAAGCTCAATGTTTAAAAGCTCCCAAGTGGTCATCGGTGAAAGTGCCAGGGTAATTTCTAGAGAGAGAGAGAGACTGGCCTCACATCTCTTTACTTCATGAATGACCAGATAGTTTCTCCTGAGAGAATTTCCTTGTACAAGCCAAATCTGGTTGGAGTAGGTCAGGGGTAGGCAGCCTTGACTCTTTTATGACTCGTGGACTTCAACTCCCAGAATTCCTGAGCCAGCACGGCTCAGCTTGGAAACCTCTCCCTTTCCCCTCAGCATAGCTGGCTCAGGAATTCTGGGAGCTGAAGTCCACGAGTCATAAAAGAGCCAAGGTTGCCTACCCCTGGAGTAGGTGATACTACAAGCACATGAGTGCCAATCCATGTAGGGCTTTATCAGTCAAAACTAAGAATCTGTTGACAAACAAGTCCGGGATTTAAAGATGCTCCTGCCTATTAAAAGTGGTCTGCTGTATTTTGAATCATCTACTGCAGTCACCTTGTAGGGGAGATGGATGGCATGAAAATTTAATAAACAAATGCAATATAACAAATCGATTTTAAATCAGGTGAAGTTTAAGAAGTGTAAGGTCATGGACCTGCTGCTCCAGGAAGAGAAATAACTGGTGCCTTGGATCAAATTGCCCAGCTGTCCAGAGTCACTTTTCAAAGTGAGACGGGTGGCATATAAATTTAATAAATAAAGGAACTAAGTATAGGTTCCCTTGTCCAAAGCATTCACCTATCCATCTTGCAGTAGCCAGGAGGGTCCCAAAGAGCCAATAATAAAATTGGCAAGAACCATGATGAACATCCATAAATCCATTTTGTTTAATTTGTTTTAGCCTATCGTCCCACCCTGAGCATAACAGCTTCTAGACACCAAGAGAAGACTTGGGCAAAATTCCCAGCTTATTGAAACCAAGATTATTTTGCCCCAGGGAAAAATGAGCCTCTGAAACTACCTACCTTAGAATCTCTCTTGAAGAGCAGCATCCTGGTTTGTCCAATGATTAAACACGGATGGCACAGTGTTGTTGGCTTAACATTAGCCATGGCTGAAGACACTCACCCAACTTCCGTATGCCAGACTCCAGCAGCATGTCTGTCTAGTTATGTTTTAGAGAAGTTAGGGGGCTGAACTTTGGGGCAGCTAGGTGGTAATTGTCAAAAACTGGGTTTCAATTAAGTAACTGACAACCCCTTCTCTCCAGAATTCAGCAGAGGTTCCATGTGACTAACTACGACTTTGTGAAAGCCATCAATGCTGTTCAGAAATCATGGAGAGCTACTGCCTACAGGGAATATGACAGACTGACTTTACAAGACCTCGTTCGGAGAGCTGGAGGATTGAGATCCAAAACGCCCAGGTAAACCAAGTTACTTGTCAGTGGCTAGATTTAGGGAAAGAGCTGTGCCGTGGAGCCCAGAGACATTTTGTTCTTGACTCCTGACTTATTTGGTGGTTTTCAAAATGGTGACGGTGAGGAAATAAAAGTCAAGATAAAAAAGAAAAGGTTTTGGACTGTGCATTTCTTCAAGAGCTATGTCTTTTCTGGAGGAACAAAATGGGTGCAGCAAGCCTTGGCCAACTACATTTATGTTATTTTAAGTTGGAAGAGACTTGGAAGTTTTCTAGTCCAACACCTTGCTCAAACAGGAGACCCTACACCAGGAGTAGGCAACCTTGGCTCTTTTATGACTCATGGACTTCAACTCCCAGAATTCCTGAGCCACCATGGCTCAGCTTGGAAACCTATCCCTTTCCCCTCAGCGTGGCTGGCTCAGGAATTCTGGGAGTTGAAGTCCACGAGTCATAAAAGAGCCAAGGTTGCCTACCCCTGCCCTACACCATTCTAAGACAAAGGGCCATCCATTCTCATCTTTAAAAACTCTAGTGATGGAGCATCCACAACCTCTGGAGGCAAGCTCTTCCATCGTGTAATTGTTGTCACTGTCAGGAAATTTCTCCTTAGTTCTAGGTTGAAGCTCTCTTTGATAATCTTCCATCTCTTACTTCTTATCCTGCCTTTGGGTGTTTTGGAGAATAGCTTGACTCCCTCTTCTTTGTGGCAACCCCTTATATATTAGAATACTGTCATCATGTCACCCCTAGTCCATCTCTTCATTAGTTTAGATATACTGAGTTCCTGCAACTGCTCTTCATATGTTTTAGCCCCCAGTCACTTCAGCCAGAAACACTCAAGAACAGCAACTTGGCATTAAGTAGGCAATGACAAACCTCAGTCATCACCAACTCATTAACCACTGGTGGGGTTTTTTTTTAATGCCCGAAACACGCTCTTGAGTACATACTAAGGTGGGAAAAACATTCAGTGGGATGGAGGCATTCTCTATAATTTCAGTTCCTTGGTCTCTGTAGCTAAACTCTGTACTGAAGGCAATTTTGTGGTGCAGTATTAAGCAGTTCAAAATCATCACACTGTTTTAAGCACTCTACAGTAATTTTAAAAGGAAATGTTTGTGGCCAGCGTTAACAGTCCTTTCTGGAAATGTGTTCAGTTTTGCTAAGGGCTTTTTACTTTAGCCTCTAAAATGAAGTGCTTACTCAGGAGGGCAAAAGTGCCAATAATCTTCCTTTATGTGTTTGCTGTGATTTTATTTTACCTCTGCATATAACAAGAACCGTTCCTGTGGGAGAAACTCTTGGAAAGAGTTTTTCGCTAGACTAGTAAGACCTCAGACAAAACAACACAAAGCTCATAGCAATTAATTGTTCCATTTGTCAGATTTGAAAGATGCCGATGTACACATTGCAGGGAGTGTGGTGGTCTAATGGTTAAGATGCTGGACTTGTCGATTGGAAGGTTGGCAGTTTGAGACCCAAGCATGATGGGGTGAGCTCCCGTTATTTGTCCCAGCTCCTGCCAACCTAGCAATTTGAAAGCATGCAAATGGGAGTAGATAAATAGGTACAAACCAGTGGTGGGATTCAAATATGTGAACAACCGGTTCTCTGTGTGGATGCCGCTTCCGGAAGTCCATTCTGGGTCTGGGCAACAAAAAATTAGCTACCAGTTCTGCCAAAGTGGTGTGAGCTGGCTGAATCCCACCACTGGTACAAACCCTAACCTACACTAAGATTGGGATAGCAACAATAATATACATTTATTCCATGCAAACACAAGAGGCTGTTAGTATCACTTCACCTTTTGGATTAGAAAAGCATGCAATAACGACAAGCTCTAATTGAATATTAATATTTGCAGTTGGCATTTCCTGCTTGCTTTGTTTTAGTACTGGAGCATTAAAAGGATTAAGAGGTTGAGAACACAAATGGTTGAGGGGAAAAAATCTGAAAATTGTCAAACTACTGGGTTACGGGTGCTATTTTCACAAGTAGCAATAGCACTTAGACTTATATATCACTTCATAGTGCTTTACAGCCCTCTCTAAGCTGTTTATAGAGTTAACATATTGCCCCCAACAATCTGGGTCCTCATTTTACTGACCTCGGAAGGATGGAAGGGACTCAGTTTCTGAACTCGTCCAGTCCTAGTTTGAGGACCGTCACTCGTCTTAGTCGGACGTTATAATTGGTAACATGGTGGTACCGAGGATAAATATCGTTATCGTTATCGTGAATAACGGACGTTGTTAGACGCAGGAGTAAAATGGTTGGAGCCTTCCTACCTTCCGACTCAGTTTCACTTGAGCTGGTCAGGATCAAACTGCTGGCTGTGGGCAGAGTTACCCTGCAATACTGCATTCTAAGCACTGCGCCACCACAGCTCTTAGTATGACTATGTGTTATTTTATTTTTTATTGTTGATGTTTTGAATTGAGACAAGTATTTATAGATTTTAGGGGGCGCGATGGCTCAGCAGTTAAAGACACTGAATTTGTCCGCTGGAAAGCTGGCAGCCCGGGTTCAAGACCCGAGCGCTGCGCAACGGGATGAGCTCCCGTTCCTGCCCCAGCTCCTGCCAACGTAGCAGTCTAAAAGTGTGAAAATGCGAGCAGATAAATAGGTATCACTTCAGTGGGAAGGTATCAGCATTCTGTGCGCCTAGGCCAGGGGTAGGCAACCTTGGCTCTTTTATGACTGGTGGACTTCAACTCCCAGAATTCCTGAGCCAGCCATGCTGAGGGGAAAGGGAGAGGTTTCCAAGCTGAGCCATGCTGGCTCAGGAATTCTGGGAGTTGAAGTCCACAAGTCATAAAGCGGCCTAGGCCTAGGCCAGAGGTAGGCAACCTTGGCTCTTTTATGACTGGTGGACTTCAACTCCCAGAATTCCTGAGCCAGGCATGATGAGGGGAAAGGGAGAGGTTTCCAAGCTGAGTCATGCTGGCTCAGGAATTCTGGGAGTTGAAGTCCACAAGTCATAAAGCGGCCTAGGCCTAGGCCAGAGGTAGGCAACCTTGGCTTTTTTATGACTCGTGGACTTCAACTCCCAGAATTCCTGAGCCAGGCATGATGAGGGGAAAGGGAGAGGTTTCCAAGCTGAGTCATGCTGGCTCAGGAATTCTGGGAGTTGAAGTCCACGAGTCATAAAAGAGCCAAGGTTGCCTACCCCTGGCCTAGGCGTATAGTCATGCCGGCCACATAACCATCAAAAGGACAACACTGGCTCCCTCGCTTAGGAGACGGAAGTGAACACCACCCCCTAGCGTCAGACACAATGGGACAAAGGAAACCTTTACCTTTTAATGCACACATTCCTTTTATTTCTTGTAGACCAAAACCTGCCTCCCTAACTTCTGAAATAATCCAAGAGGCTTCTAATCTGCCAGAATCCTGGGACTGGAGAAATGTGAATGGTGTTAATTACGTCAGCCCAGTACGAAACCAAGGTGGGTTCTGTTTCCCCAAGCCGGCTTGACTTAAACTGTTTTGCAACGCTTTTACAAAAACGAATGTTCTTTTGTGGGCATTCATGGAGTTCTTTGGTTTTGTTTGTGTGTTTATGCACTTGTGTGTTTGGGATAATTATCAGCCTCATAAAGAACACTGTGAGTACCTTAGTGTAGGAAAAGAAGCTATTTGTTCATTTTTGGCAATTTTAGTCTGTTGGTGGCAGACAGAATTCAGCTCCAAAGAGCATATTTACTATGTTGGAAGTAAGCTGTAGACTTGAGATAATATTGGTGATTTTGTACTGACCCAAGAAACAGATTGCCACGTCCCAATTTCTTTTTCCCCCTTTTATACTTGTCATTTGTCCTTTTTCATATACTTGGACATACTAGGACCATATTATGAATTATTGAAAGCTATAGCAAATCTAGACAGCATACTAAAAAGCAGAGACACCACCCTGCCAACAAAAGTGTGTATAGTCAAGGCCATGGTTTTCCCAGTTGCAATGCACGGCTGTGAAAGTTGAACTATAAGAAAGGCTGAGCGCCAAAGAATTGAGGCCTTTGAACTCTGGTGCTGGAGAAGACTCCTGCGAGTCCCCTGGACTGCAAGGCGTTCAAACCGGTCAGTCCTAGAGGAGATCAACCCTGACTGCTCTTTAGAAGGCCAGATCCTGAAGTTGAAACTCAAGTACTTTGGCCACCTAATGAGAAGGAAGGACTCACTGGAGAAGAGCCTAATGCTGGGAAAGATTGAGGGCAAAAGAGGAAGGGGATGACAGAGAATGAGGTGGCTGGATGGAGTCACTGAAGCAGTAGGCGTGAGCTTAAATGGACTCCAGAAGATGGTAGAGGACAGGAAGGCCTGGAGGAACGTTGTCCATGGGGTTGCAATGGATTGGACACGACTTCGCAATTAACAACAACAAAGTGGTATGTAAGAATAACCTTGGGAAACAGGGTCAAGAGCCACAGCTAAGGGGGCAGCCAGATAAAAGGCATCTATCTTACCCTACAACAGGAAAATGGATAAGGCAAGAATTCAGAAGGGACCCTCCCTAGTCTCGTAAGCTGTGATGGGGGGGGGAAATGTAATTTCAGGCTTGCATGATTCTGATAATGTAACTTTACAATAAAGTAGATTTAGTTCAGCTGGCCTCCATTTCCTTTCTGGGCTACATCACAAGGCTGAATGAGACCTCAGCTGAGAGACCAGCTGACATTTCAACAGATCTGAGTACTGAGTGGGTTGCTTACCAACCCAGTTCCTTTTTTTTAATTATGATTTTTAATCACTTATAGCATAACATACAAAGATACAAAAGCAAATAATAGGGAACAAAGGTAGGGGAAGGGAAAAAAGAGAAGTGTGGAAAGGGAGGGAGGGGAGGGAAAAAAAGATATTGACTTTCGACTCCCTCTGTTGCGGTAAAATAAGGCATTAACATCGAACCTCAACTTTTTACATTCCTAGTATGAACTAGCCCAGGGGTAGGCAACCTTGGCTCTTTTATGACTTGTGGACTTCAACTCCCAGAATTCCTGAGCCGGCATGGCTCAGCTTGGAAACCTCTCCCTTTCCCCTCAGCATGGCTGGCTTAGGAATTCTGGGAGTTGAAGTCCACAAGTCATAAAAGAGCCAAGGTTGCCTACCCCTGAACTAGCCATTTCTATGTCAACAAATCAATCTAATCAGTAAAACCCAAAATCATAGTATCATTTTTTTTCCACCTCAAGCAGAAGCGGTTTCCAAGTAGAAGCAAAAGTACTTACATTCTTTTCTTTTATCAAAACAGTCAATTTAGCCATCTCTGCTAATTCCATCAACTTTTGTAGCCATAGTGGGTATCGAAACGCCCTTCCGTTTTTATGCATAGAGGAGTCTTGCTGCCGTCAACATATATAAAATCAGAGTTCCCCAAAATATTTTTCCAGGTCTTTTTCCACTAGACCCAGAAGGAAAGTTTCTGGATTAATCTTTATGTTCACATTAAGAATTTTCTGCATTAAAATATGAATCTTACTCCAATATTTCTTTGTTTTATCACATGTCCACCCTAAATGATAAAAAGTCCCTTCTTACCAATTCAGTTCCGACAGCTGCCAAACCATATTCAGGGTCACATGACTGCATGTTGGGTACATGGCAGCGGTTCTGCATTATGGCCATTTGCAGTATCCCACAGTCATGTGAGCACATTTTATGATAGCTTTGCCAAAAACCAGCACTTGACTTCCAATAATAAAACAGACCCATTGCAGGCCATTTTTCACTTTAACTACTGCCCCCCCCCAAAAGGTCATAAAATCAGGTCAGTCATGAGAGTGCCTGTTACTACCATAATAGAAGCTCTATTATGGTTGTTGGTCAAAGACAACCTGCATTGTGATACTCCTCAGAAGTACGTGGTGTTTGTGTTGTAACACATCTTTTAGTGATTGTTTTTCACCCTTGCAAAAAGTTGTGGTTGTTATGTTGTTACCTTTTACTGTGCTAAAGAGAGTCGGACGTTACTGCCTTTTTTTTTCTTTTTTTCTCCTTTACACTATCCCCCTTTTTTCCCCTCCGTCTTCTTTTAGTTTTCCACGCTTTTTCCCCCTTGTATTTTATACTTTGATAAAAATTAATAACAAATTGCAAATCGAAAAAAATATCATGATTGTTTTTCACACTTGCGACCGTTGTGCAACATCCTGGGGGTCACGTGATCAAAATTCAGACACTTGGCAACTGGCATGTACTTAATGACAGTTGCAGTGTCCTGGGGTCGTGATCCCGTTTTGCGACCTTCTGCTCAGCAAAGTCAGTGGGAAAGGCAGATTCATTTAAGAACGGTGTTACTAATTTAACAGCTGCAAGGAATTAACCACTGGGGCAAAACAGGCCATAAAATGGGGAAAAACTCGGTCAACAACTGTCTCTCTTAGCAAAAGAAGTTTTGAGGTCGTACGTTGAGGATAGTCAACTGAGCCCAAAACTTCTGTACAAAGAATCTTGCTCCCATTGGTCATTTGTTTTCTTTCTGGATGTCAGGAAGCAAGAAAAATAAGAGACAGATGTCCTCTGTCGGCTGTCTGTACATTTGCTGCAGGAGTAAGATGATTAAACTAAAATGGTACCTTGTGTATAGGTGTGCTTGGTCACACCTCCTGGTCCTCAAGAGGCAATTTGGCTTCTAAATACCGCCCTCANCTGAGTCAAAGACTTGAGCAGGTCAGGATCAAACTCCTGGCAGTGAGCAGAATCAGCCTGCAATATTAACCATTGTACCACCATGGCTCCTATTTATAGCAATAGCAATAGCACTTATTGCCTGCAACAATCTGCGTCCTCATTTTACCAACCTCGGAAGGATGGAAGGCTGAGTCAAAGACTTGAGCTGGTCAGGATCGAACTGCTGGCTGTGGGCAGAGTTACCCTGCAATACTGCATTCTAAGCACTGCGCCACCACAGCTCTTAGTATGACTATGTGTTATTTTATTTTTTATTGTTGATGTTTTGAATTGAGACAAGTATTTATAGATTTTAGGGGGCGCGATGGCTCAGCAGTTAAAGACACTGAATTTGTCCGCTGGAAAGCTGGCAGCCCGGGTTCAAGACCCGAGCGCTGCGCAACGGGATGAGCTCCCGTTCCTGCCCCAGCTCCTGCCAACGTAGCAGTCTAAAAGTGTGAAAATGCGAGCAGATAAATAGGTATCACTTCAGTGGGAAGGTATCAGCATTCTGTGCGCCTAGGCCAGGGGTAGGCAACCTTGGCTCTTTTATAACTGGTGGACTTCAACTCCCAGAATTCCTGAGCCAGCCATGCTGAGGGGAAAGGGAGAGGTTTCCAAGCTGAGTCATGCTGGCTCAGGAATTCTGGGAGTTGAAGTCCACAAGTCATAAAGCGGCCTAGGCCTAGGCCAGAGGTAGGCAACCTTGGCTTTTTTATGACTCGTGGACTTCAACTCCCAGAATTCCTGAGCCAGGCATGATGAGGGGAAAGGGAGAGGTTTCCAAGCTGAGTCATGCTGGCTCAGGAATTCTGGGAGTTGAAGTCCACGAGTCATAAAAGAGCCAAGGTTGCCTACCCCTGGCCTAGGCGTATAGTCATGCCGGCCACATAACCATCAAAAGGACAACACTGGCTCCCTCGCTTAGGAGACGGAGGTGAAACCACCCCCTAGCGTCAGACACAATTGGACAAAGGAAACCTTTACCTTTTAATGCACACATTCCTTTTATTTCTTGTAGACCAAAACCTGCCTCCCTAACTTCTGAAATAATCCAAGAGGCTTCTAATCTGCCAGAATCCTGGGACTGGAGAAATGTGAATGGTGTTAATTACGTCAGCCCAGTACGAAACCAAGGTGGGTTCTGTTTCCCCAAGCCGGCTTGACTTAAACTGTTTTGCAACGCTTTTACAAAAACGAATGTCCTTTTGTGGGCATTCATGGAGTTCTTTGGTTTTGTTTGTGTGTTTGTGCACTTGTGTGTTTGGGATAATTATCAGCCTCATGAAGAACACTGTGAGTACCTTAGTGTAGGAAAAGAAGCTATTTGTTCATTTCTGTCAATGTTAGTCTGTTGGTGGCAGACAGAATTCAACTCCAAAGAGCATATTTACTACGTTGGAAGTAAGCTGTAGACTTGAGATAATATTGGTGATTTTGTACTGACCCAAGAAACAGATTGCCATGTCCCAATTTCTTTTTCCCCCTTTTATACTTGTCATTTGTCCTTTTTCATATACTTGGACATACTAGGACCATATTATGAATTATTGAAAGCTATAGCAAATCTAGACAGCATACTAAAAAGCAGAGACACTACCCTGCCAACAAAAGTGCGTATAGTCAAGGCCATGGTTTTCCCAGTTGCAACGTACAGCTGTGAAAGTTGGACCATAAGAAAGGCTGAGTGCCAAAGAATTGAGGCCTTTGAACTATGGTGCTGGAGAAGACTCCTGCGAGTCCCCTGGACTGCAAGGCGATCAAACCAGTCAGTCCTAGAGGAGATCAACCCCGACTGCTCTTTAGAAGGCCAAATCCTGAAGTTGAAACTCAAATATTTTGGCCACCTAATAAGAAGGAAGGACTCACTGGAGAAGAGCCTAATGCTGGGAAAGATTGAGGGCAATAGAAGAAGGGGACGACAGAGAATGAGGTGGCTGGATGGAGTCACTGAAGCACTAGGTGTGAGCTTAAATGGACTCCAGAAGATGGTAGAGGACAGGAAGGCCTGGAGGAACGTTGTCCATGGGGTTGCAATGGATTGGACACGACTTCGCAATTAACAACAACAAAGTGGTATGTAAGAATAACCTTGGGAAACAGGGTCAAGAGCCACAGCTAAGGGGGCAGCCAGATAAAAGGCATCTATCTTACCCTACAACAGGAAAATGGATAAGGCAAGAATTCAGAAGGGACCCTCCCTAGTCTCGTAGGCTGTGATGGGGGGGGGGGAGAAATGTGATTTGAGGCTGGCATCATTCTGATAATGTAACTTTACAATAAAGTAGATTTAGTTCAGCTGGCCTCGTTTCCTTTCTGGGCTACCTCACAAGGCTGAATGAGACCTCAGCTGAGAGACCAGCTGACATTTCAACAGATCTGAGTCCTGAGTGGGTTGCTTACCAACCCAGTTCCTTTTTTTTAATTATGATTTTTAATCACTTATAGCATAACATACAAAGATACAAAAGCAAATAATAGGGAACAAAGGTAGGGGAAGGGAAAAAAGAGAAGTGTGGAAAGGGAGGGGAGGGAAAAAAAGATATTGACTTTCGACTCCCTCTGTTGCGGTAAAATAAGGCATTAACATCGAACCTCAACTTTTTACATTCCTAGTATGAACTAGCCCAGGGGTAGGCAACCTTGGCTCTTTTATGACTTGTGGACTTCAACTCCCAGAATTCCTGAGCCGGTATGGCTCAGCTTGGAAACCTCTCCCTTTCCCCTCAGCATGGCTGGCTCAGGAATTCTGGGAGTTGAAGTCCACAAGTCATAAAAGAGCCAAGGTTGCCTACCCCTGAACTAGCCATTTCTATGTCAACAAATCAATCTAATCAGTAAAACCCAAAATCATAGTATCATTTTTTTCCCACCTCGAGCACAAAGCCCAGAAGCGGTTTCCAAGTAGAAGCAAAAGTACTTATATTCTTTTCTTTTATCAAAACAGTCAATTTAGCCATCTCTGCTAATTCCATCAACTTTTGTAGCCATAGTGGGAATCGAAACGCCCTTCCGTTTTTATGCATAGAGGAGTCTTGCTGCCGTCAACATATATAAAATCAGAGTTCCCCAAAATATTTTTCCAGGTCTTTTTCCACTAGACCCAGAAGGAAAGTTTCTGGTTTAATCTTTATGTTCACATTAAGAATTTTCTGCATTAAAATATGAATCCTACTCCAATACTTCTTTGCTTTATCACATGTCCACCATAAAAGATAAAAAGTCCCTTCTTACCAATTCAGTTCCGACAGCTGCCAAACCATCTTTAGGGTCACATGACTGCATGTTGGGTACATGGCAGCCGTCCCGCATTATGGCCATTTGCAGCATCCCACAGTCACGTGAGCACATTTTATGACAGTTTTGCCGAAAACCAGCACTTGACTTCCAATAATAAAACAGACCCATTGCAGGCCATTTTTCACTTTAATGACTGCCTCAAAAAAAGGTCATAAAATCAGGTCAGTCATGAGGGTGCCTGTTACTACTTATGATCCTAATGGGAAAGCTCTATTATGGTTGTTGGTCAAAGACAACCTGCATTGTGATACTCCTCAGAAGTACGTGGTGTTTGTGTTGTAACACATCTTTTAGTGAAAAAAAGTGACCTATGATTGTTTTTGACACTTGCAAAAAGTTGTGGTTGTTATGTTGTTACCTTTTACTGTGCTAAAGAGAGTCGGACGTTACTGCCTTTTTCTTTTTTTCTCCTTTACACTATCCCCCTTTTTTCCCCTCCATCTTCTTTTACTTTTCCATGCTTTTTCCCCCTTGTATTTTATACTTTGAATAAAAATTAATAACAAATTGCAAATCGAAAAAAATATCATGATTGTTTTTCACACTTACGACCGTTGTGCAACATCCTGGGGGTCACGTGATCAAAATTCAGACACTTGGCAACTGGCATGTACTTAATGACAGTTGCAGTGTCCTGGGGTTGTGATCCCGTTTTGCGACCTTCTGCTCAGCAAAGTCAGTGGGAAAGGCAGATTCATTTAAGAACGGTGTTACTAATTTAACAGCTGCAAGGAATTAACCACTGGGGCAAAACAGGCCATAAAATGGGGAAAAACTCGGTTAACAACTGTCTCTCTTAGCAAAAGAAGTTTTGAGGTCGTACGTTGAGGATAGTCAACTGAGCCCAAAACTTCTGTATTATTATTATTATTATTATTATTAATTTAATTTATATACCGCCCTTCTCCCGCAGGACTCAGGGCGGTGCACAGCGTATTAAAAACAGTACAAATACAAAGCATAAAAATACAAACCCCTGTAAAACCAGATTAAAAAACCGAATATTAGAAGCTGTGTCTCTATTTAAAATTATTTTTAAAATCACCCTAAATAANAAAATATAATTCCACTGCTTTTGGCCAGCGGGAAGCTGCCTTGTTCCACCACAACATTTTGTCAGCTTTCAAAAGTTCTGACTCAATTAGCAGAAATTCCAGTAGCGAAGCAGAAGAAGCTGAATAAACTTATTTTGCCTAATGCAGTCCTCTCCTTTTTGTTGCTAAGCAGCGGCGGCAGCATTTCAGGTTTTTTTTTTAAAAAAAGCTGGGATATTAGGCAGTCTTTTTTAGAAGTGAGTGTATTTTATTTTATTTATTTAAGAAAAATCTAGCACCTACGCATCCGTTCAGAGTGTAAAGCAGGGGTCTTCAAACCGGGCCCTTTTAGGTCTTGTGGACTTCAACTCCCAGAATTCCTCAGCTAGGCACGCTGGCTCTGAGGAATTCTGGGAGTTGAAGTCCACAAGTCCTAAAAGGGCCAAGTGTGAAGGCCCCTGGTGTAAAGAGACCTGTAGAGCCAGTTTGGTCTAATGGTTGAGGGACCAGGCAAGAAACCAGGGGACCGTGACTTCTAGTCCTGCCTTGGGTATGAAAACTGATTGACTTTGAGGCAATCATCAGGAGACTGTGAGTTCTAATCCTACTTCTGTATGATGGAGGTGGTTATCCTTTGAAAGCTGAATGCAGTGAAATTTCATTTTAATGTACACTGATTAGTGTACATTTAAAGTGACAAAGTTATTGTTCTGTTCTGTCCCGTCCCGTCCCATCCTATCCTATCCTATCCTATCCTATCCTATCCTATCCTATCCTATTCTTGTCAGCAAAAATAATTTGGGGTTTCAACTCGAGCTGCACAAGAATAAATAAATAAAAATTAAAAAAAACGTGTGAGTTCTAATCCCACTTTAGGCATAAAAGCCGATTGGGTAACTAGCCCAATCATCAGCACACTGTGAGTTCCAGTCCTGCCTTAGGCATGAAAGCCAGCTGGGTGATCTTGGGCCAGTAACTCTCTCAGTCCAACTCATCTCACAGGGTTGATGTTGTACGGGAAATAGAAGGAAGAAGGAATATTACATATGTTCACTGCCTTGAGCTCTTTATTAAAAAAAAATAAAGGTAAATAAATAATAAGCAAATAAAATAAAGAGGATTGTTGTTTTGTTTAGTTTGATTAAAAAGTCCTGAAAGATTTTTCCTCTCCCTTTCCCTCTCTCTCCCCCTCTCTCCCTTTCCCTCTCTCCTTCCCTCTCTCCCTTTCCCTCTCTCCTTCCCTCTCTCCCTTTCCCTCTCTCTCTCTCCTTCCCTCTTCTCTCCCTCCCTCTCTCCTTCTCTCTCTCCCTCTTTCTTTCCCTCTCCCTCCCTCTCTCTTTCCCCCTATCCCTCCCTCTCCCTCCCTCCCTCTCTCCCTTTTCCTCTCCCTCTCTCCCTTTCTCCCTCTCTCTCTGCCTTTTCCTCTCCCTCCCTCTCTCCCCCCCTTTCCCCCTCCCTCTCTCCTTCCCTCTCTCCCTTTCCCTCTCTCTCTCCCTCTCCCTCCCTCTCTCCCTTTCCCTCTCTCTCCCTTTCTCCCTCTCCCTCCTCCTCTCTCTCTCTTTCTCCCCCTCTCTCTCTCCCTCCCTCTCTCCCTCTCCCTCCCTCTCATCCCGGCTCAGAGCTAAGGAGTTTCTGGTTTCAAAGGAGCTCAGTGATTGGCTGACCTTATTCCTCCATTCTTCTCCACAGCCTCCTGCGGCAGCTGCTACGCTTTTGCTTCGATGGGCATGCTGGAAGCCAGGATTCGCATCCTCACCAACAATTCTCAGACTCCAACCCTGAGCCCTCAGCAAGTTGTTTCCTGCAGTGAATACTCCCAAGGTAAAGTAGGGTGGGTAGCATCTGGATTTGGGGGGGGAAATAAAAAAACCTTGGGGCTCATTTTGAATTGACCATTGACTGAAGGTAAGCAGATGATAAGGATGGGAAGGTCAACGCCTGCATGACAAAGGATATGCCTGCCCATCATGCTTGTAGAACTAAAGAGAAGGTAAACCTTCTAGCACGCAGGAACAATACAGCTGGTGCACAGCACTGTTAACCAAGTTGGCCATTGTGATGGAGGTATTCAGGTTCAAAAGACAAGCTACAAAAAACACCTAGAAGTAGAAATGAGCGCCTGCCTGCAACTCATTAAAGCACCCATGTCTGTCTCCTGGATTTTATTTATTTACTTTAATAAGTAATATTACTTATTAAAATATAGTATAAAATTAAAAAAGTACTTTAATAATTAATACTGCTGCCCATCTCACCGATAAGGCCACCTGGAAGGCTTAGAAATGGTAAAAAAAAAAGATTAAATTAAAATTCGGAAGAGTTACTTAAAAAAAATTATGGTATGGGGTGAGGTCTTTTTGCCTGGTCAGTAGGAGCTGTGTTCATAATCCTGCTTGTTTTCATAAGCCTGATGTTTTCAACCATGGATAATGTTGAAAGAGTCTATGCAGATTCTCAATCGTCTACGTCATGGTTGCCCCAAAGGTGCTTTTCCAAAACTCAACTGGATTTTTCTTGATTTTTTTCCCCCTTGAAAACATTTTGCTTCTCATCCATGAAGCTTCTTCAGTTCTGAAGAACTGATGAAGCTTCGCGGATGAGAAGCGAAACATTTTCAAGGAAAAAAAAACCCAAGGAAAGTCCAGTTGCCTTTTGAAAAAGCACCTTTGGGATAATCCTGCTTATTTTGAAACTCTCTTCCGCCATCAACCTTTTAGTCCTTAGTCAGCAGGTACTAAAGTACACCTGAAAGCACCAAAGGACAGGAATGGGAAGAAAAAAAAAGCTAGAAGAGTGATGATGTTGCTCATTCTTATACTCCTGTTAGTCCAGTTTTTCATTCTGAAAGATGCTTGCTTTCTGTTGTACCAGCCTTTGTGATAAGAATCTAGCCTTTTAAGACTTCTTCAAGCTGTACCGTTAATTTCCCCAAATTATTATTATTTTTTCTTTCCTTTTAGGTTGTGATGGTGGATTCCCTTACCTTATTGCTGGAAAATACATACAGGATTTTGGCATAGTTGAGGAGGCCTGCTTCCCTTACAAAGGCACGGATTCCCCCTGCACTTTTAAGAATGACTGCTATCACTACTACACCTCCAACTATTACTACGTGGGTGGGTTCTATGGGGGGTGCAACGAAGCCTTCATGAAACTGGAGCTCATTAAGCATGGGCCGATGGCTGTTGCTTTCGAAGTTTATAATGATTTTATGTACTACTCGGGAGGAATCTACCACCACACCGGTCTGATGGACCCTTTTAACCCTTTCGAACTGACCAATCACGCCGTTCTGCTTGTGGGTTATGGCAGGGATCCCCAGACTGGTCAGCCATTTTGGATTGTGAAGAACAGTTGGGGAACCTCTTGGGGTGAGGAAGGTTATTTCCGGATCCGGAGAGGCTCGGATGAGTGCGCTATAGAGAGCATAGCGGTGGCTTCCACACCTATACCTAAAATATAGTTGTAAAATTACCTCAGGAGACCTCTGCCCAGAGAGCAGGAGTGTCCACCCTACAAGTGCAATGGGTGTTAATTACAGCTAGTTCTCGACTTATGACCACAATTGAGCCCATTTCCGTTGCTAAGCAAGACAGTTAAGTGATGCCCCAGTCTGTTGTGTCCCAGCCTACGAGAGTCCTTGTTTATGCTCACAAGGATGAAACCCCTCTTCCAACAAGCAGGCAGAAACCGCAAGAAAAAAACAACCCCGTTTATTCTCACAGACCTGAGTCAATGTCCAAGGCAAACAAACACAGTTCACAGAAACATGATTCTCAACACGAGCGGTTGCCTTTGGCAACCAGCACCTCCCACACCTTCCCTTTGATAATTCAGCCAAGGCGTGGCTTCCTAATGCCTTCTCCTTTGCCTTTGGAGCCGCCCCATTGCATTCCTCTGTCCTACTCGCTTCTCTTGCCTGCGCCTTTGTGCATCCTGGATGTTTCCCAACTGTTCTTCATCACTGTCCAACTCAGGCTCCCAGCACAGCTGTGTCTCAGCCTGAGCGCGAGTGGAGGGGCCAGGCTCCTCATCCGACTAAGTCTTGGAGCTCCTCAGAGCCTTCCTCTGACTCTAATGTCACTCCAGGCCCTTCCTCCTCCTCCTCTGATTCCTCAGACTCAGCTGCTGGATCCACAGGCGGGCGAGGAATCACAACACTGTCTATGGCCTTTCTTGACACCGTTAAGCGGTCACTGCAGTTGTCACATGGCTGTTCAGTGAATCTGCGCCCCCCCCCCCCGTAGATTTTGCTTGTTTAGAAGGTTGCAAAAGATGATCACATGACCCCGGGACATTGCAGCCAGCTTAAGTACATGTCAGTTTCCAAGCGTCCAAATTTTGATCTTGTGACCGTGGAGACGCAACGGTCGTAAGTGTGCAGAATGATTGTAAGTCATCTTTTTTTCAGGGCCGTTGTAACATCGAATGGTCACTAAACAAATTGTTGTAAATCGAGGACTACCTGTACGTATTTAGAAAATTGAATGGCCTTGCGTTCACTGCCTACGAGGAAAATTTTGTTTTGCCGTGGTTTTTTTTCAAACTGTGTTAAATGAAAGCCATAGTGGTTAGAAGACCAGGTCAAAGAACTGATCGTAAAATGTGGTGGATTCATCTAACCCAGGGGTCTTCAAACTTGGCCACTTTAAGACTTGTGGACTTCAACTCCCAGAATTCCTCAGCCAGCCCTGGCTGGCTGAGGAATTCTGGGAGTTGAAGTCCACAAGTCTTAAAGTGGCCAAGTTTGAAGACCCCTGATCTAACCCCTCTGATTCTGTTTAGCTATTGCAGTAAGTTGGGATGGAGGAACCTTAACAATAGATTCATGTTCTTAACTTTCAAGCCAGAATTGGGAACCATGATTGGAAGCAAGCTTACTAATCATGATCCATGTTATTTCGACTTGGTGTGATAAAATGGCCGGTCATGATTAACACTGTTCTGCTATTCCATCAGAAAAGGATAGTGATTAAAATAGACTTGGATATAATGGTAGTTTGCAATGGAAGCCCAATCACAGCCTGGTGTTTTCAACCATGGATAATTTAATGCCTATGGAGATTCTCAATCATCCAGGTCACGATTGTCCCAAATGTGCTTTTTCCAAAGGGCAACTGGACTTTCTTGTTTGTTTGTTTGTTTTCTTTGAAAATGTTTCGCTTCTCATCGTTCAGTTCTAACATTTAGAGCCAAAGAACTAACATTTAAAACTAACTCAGTTCTAACTGATCTGAGTTAGAACTGAAAAAGCTTCTTGGATGAAAAATGAAACATTTTCAAAAAAAAAAAACACCAAGAAAGTCCAGATGCCTTTTGGGGGGGGGAAACAACCCACCTTTGGAACATGGATGATGTACCTGAAATTAGCCAGTCTCTTAGCCAAATTAATCAGGTTTCTTAGGATGAAGTGGTACATGCCATATTTGAAGAAAATGGTATGTTTTAATGTTTACAATCTAGCTATGAATTCAATTACAGTGTATGAAAACTCTGGATATTCATTGTGTTATTCTCCCACAGTTTCTTTCCACGGAATTATTTTTCTAATCTGCAATAGTATTTTTTTAATTGCTGTGCCTTAACAAAAGAAATGAAGAAACTTGAATGTAGAAGAGAGTGTCTTGCATGCGAAATGATTATACTCTACTGTGATTTTTTTTTTTGTATAAAAAAGGGAAACTTATAAGTATCTTTTTAACAAAATACAACATTCATTTGATCCACGGTTTGAGCAATGCAGTTCAACTTTATTGTTTCCTTCTTTTCATGATCTTCAGGGTTTTTATATATATATATGATTCTAGAAATAAAGAAATGCTTTTCTGCTGCCTTGGGAGTTCTTTAAATAAAGCTTTCTTATTGCCTCTTTTAAAACTCAGTGGGAGGTTGAAGAAGGGGCATGATTTTTTTTGTGTGGGAACAACAGAGAGTTGCTACAGTGGAATTACATTTTTTTAAGAACTTTTCTTCCTTCAAATATATTGTCTGACAAATTCGGGGCTTTAATGTAATTTGTTCCTAAAGCATCATAAATTAAGATGTCATATAGTCAATATGATTGGAGTATAACCTATATATTAATTTCTCCCTTGTGTCACATCAAAGCTTAAAATTGGATAACAGTGTTTATCGGGAGGATAATTTGGGACCACATTTAAGATGTTTGGGCAGCCCTGGGACCTCAGAGTTTGGATGTTTGTTGTAAGGGGACTGGGGCTGTGGTTGTGATGAGGCTAGAATTTTGAACATAGTAGCAGTGTCCTGGTTTCTCTTAGAGGGGATGATACGGCTGTATTCAAGCTAAAATGAAAAGCATGGACAGTGGAGATCTCTTAAGTTCTCAAAGAAACATCTGGGCTTTCATATTCAGCCGCCAGCTTCTTTGGGGGGGAGAATAGAATAGAATAGAATATAGAGATTGGAATAGAATAGAATAGAATAGAATAGAATAGAATAGAATAGAATAGAATAGAATAGAATAGAATATAGAGATTGGAATAGAATAGAATAGAATAGAATAGAATAGAATAGAATAGAATAGAATAGAATAGAATAGAATAGAATAGAATAGAATAGCAGAGTTGAAGGTCATCTAGTTCAGCCCCCTGCTCAGGCAGGAAACCCTATACCATTTCAGACAAATGGTTGACCAATCTCTTCTCTTCTTAAAAACTTCCAGTGTTGGAGCTTTCACAGCTTCTGGAGGCAGGTTGTTCCACTGGTTAATTGTTCTAACTGTCAGGAAGTTTCTCCTTAGTTCTAGGTTGCTTCTCTCCTTGATCAGTTTCCATCCGTTGCTTCTTGTCCTGCCTTCTGGTGCTTTGGAGAATAGCTTGACTCAATGGTGGGATTCAGCTGGTTTGCACCAGTTTGGCAGAACCAGTAGCTAATTTTTTGTTGCCCAGGCCCAGAACTGACTTCCGGAAGCAGCATCCACACAGAGAACCAATTATTCACATATTTGAATCCCACCACTGGCTTGACTCCCTCTTTGTAGCAGCCCCTGAGATACTGGAACACTGCTATCATGTCACCCCTAGTCCTTCTTTTCATTAAACTAGACATACCCAATTCTAGTAACCATTCTTTATATGTTTTAGCCTCCAGTCCCCTGATCATCTTTGTTGCTCTTCTCTGCATCCTGAATCTCAAAATCTTTTTTACATTGTGGCGACCAAAACTGCATGCAGTATTCCAAGTGTGGCCTTACCATGGCATTAAAAAGTAGTATTAACACTTCACGTGTTCTTGATTCTATCCCTCTTTTGATGCAGCCTCCTTCTTCCTGCAACTGTCTTAACATCCATTGTATCTCCTATCCAGAACACGAGTCCCATAAAGATTTTTCATGCTATGCTGTCTTTCTGGTGGATTAAACAGTTTAAAATAGACATAATTTCAATAACGGTATTTCCCAACCATGTAGAATAGAAACATATGACTAGACGTTTCAGCTTTTTCTCCCTGCCTTGGGAGATCGATCAATCTCACCGGAGATAAATAAAATCAAACTTTTTTTTTTTAAAGTAGAACATTGTTGAAACTTACACAACAAAACTGAAGCTGTGAAATGAGAGGTGATGGTGGGATATATATATATATATATATATATATATATATATCCCTGTATATACCAATAGCACTACCCAGAGGGCGAGTGTTGGCTTATCCTTCTCAGGTTAGACACAGATAAATGGCATCTCCATAACATTCAAAGGAGACAACAAAAAAAAACTAAAAAGGAAGCACAAAGACTTTTCTCCAGCAGCCAACCCTCAGTTGAGCAGTGAGTAATTTATAAAAATAATAAAGGCAGGATAAAAATAAAAAGTAATTATGTAATGTGTAGATTTTGCTTCCAACGCACATTTCCCTTTGCATCTAAATATGGTAACTGATCTTATCCATTTTTTTTAGAAAATCAGCTGCAATTCCTCTTCCCTTTCTTAGGGCTTCTTAGGGATTTGAAGTCCAAGCAGACCAGTAATAGCAAGAATAGCCATCTGGTTGTGCAGAGAAAATAATTGCAATGAATTAACTGAAAGGTTAAATCATCAACATTTAAGTCTCAGCTGTGGGAGAATAAAATGCAAGATATATTCCCTTCCTATAATGTGTGCTGAGAATCTTGGAAAAGGCTGATTAAATGATTTGCAACCAATACATACATACATACATACACACACACACACACACACACACACACACACACACACACATATATATATATACACACACACACACACACACACACACACACACACACACACACACACACACACACACACACACACACATATATATATATATATATATATATATATATATATATATATATATATATATCTTTGCATATATATTGCAACTGTTTCTAGAAGTGATAGGTTTGTTGGGCAAAGTCTAGCACTACATGTAAAGTTTACTCAAAGCTGTTTACGCTTTGAGATAATGCAATAATTGAGACAGAGGAAAAAAGAGGATAGTAGAGCTAAATTGGGTTAATGCATACACTGCAGAAGTTGCATACTTAAAAAGTGTATATAAGGATAGCTGAATAAGGTGGGAAAATGTATTTCTGGCATGTTAAGTTGCATATATGCCAAAGATTTTCCAGATTTTTCTTGGATATTTTTGCTAGATAATTAGATGCCACAGATTAGAAGGATCCTGGA